GATAGACAAGTCTCTCATTTTTGAGCAGTGAACAAATCAAGGGCCTGTCTACTTTATAACACTACGTTAGCTAATGAGTCTGAGTTTTTAAGGCTTGAATAGCATCTCGAACTTTTTGTCTTTTTTTATTTTTTTGTCTTCAAGCCATGAACTGTTGTTGTCCCAACCCAAGAACTGTGGCACTTAGTGTGAAGCTGTCTGTTACAGCTAATCTTGTTAATAAAGGGAGAATAATTGGATCTTTTTTTTTAACAAACAGTTTGTTGCAGCAATTTGTAAAGGCACCTTTTTTATTGTTGAAGGAATATAAACAGACAAGTTGGGGAGTAGGATTCCCAAGGCATATAACCCAGTAGAATGTTTTGAAATTATCTTAAAAACACCATTTGTGCAGAAAAAGAAAGTTTTATTTGGGCCAGAGTATCAGTGGTTGAAGACAAATCAACATTAGTACAAATAGCTGAGATGTTGTGTGACTTTACCACCTTCACAGCTGTGGGAGTAACCATACATGTCTCATGTAGCCCTTTTCATATAGGTTGTAAAGCGGTCTTTTTCAAATTTTAACATAAACTCGGTCCCCCAGGTTTATCAAATGGGGAGGGGTTAGTATAGGGAGGTCTTTTTTACCTCTAGTTTGTCTCTGGATATTTTGGAACACTTTTTAAAATTTTAATAGCTGTACTTTTATATTGGATGGACCTAACAGATAAATTTTTTGTAAAGTCTCAAGATATATGGTGGCCTCTCAGACAAGACTTCATATGGGGAGAATCTAATATAACTTGGGCTGTTTTTTATTTTAAGGAGGGCTACAGAGAGCAAATCGACCGACACATGACCCTGGAGCTATCTGACAATATTTAGTTAATATACTCTTATAATGAGCTTTTTAAATTTTGTCAGAGCTCTGGGGCCAATAAGCAGTACGTATCATTTTATATGTAATAATTTAGCTAGACCTTATATAATCTCTGCCACAAATGTTGGCCCATTGTCACTATCTATAGAGAGAGGCAGACCAGACCTTGGAATTCTCTCTTTTAATACAATCTCACATATTTTGAAGCCTTTTTTGCTTCTGTAGGGAAGGCCTCAGGTCATCTAGAGTAAATGTAAACACATAAAACAGATATGTATAAGCTCTGCAAGGGGAAATTTTTGTAAAGTTTATCTGTGTCTTTAAAGGAGGTTGTGCCCTTTTGTTGTATTTTAGGTGGTGCTCTGGGCCAGAAGTTGGGTTTATTTTTTGACAAATTTGACACCTTTTTGAGATTTGTTTACACAAAGCAGAAATCTGAGGTATGAAGAAATATTTTTTAACAGTGTGTGCGGAGCTGTCTTTTTTTTTTTTTAGTCAAATCATGATATCTTTTAATTTAACAGTAAGATAGCATCTCTGGTATTATTATTTTGTTGTCAGGTAGAAACTAAAAAAGTCCTTGTTTTTTAGCCAATTGTTTTTTAGCCCATTCATCTTTTTATGTGATTATTTTATAGCAGCTAGGGGCCTCTGTATCTCTTTTTGTGTGTGTGCATGGGTGAGTATGATCATCTGAAGTTTTGTTTAGCTGTGGTTTTCACTTTTTTGTCTATCTTAGTATTACCTTTTGTTACTGTATCCTTTTTTTTTTTTTTTTTTGGTGCCTAGAGCAATGTTTTCTTGCTATGTTATCAGGCTTTTATACTCTCTTCAACAACTGTACTATGTCTTGTTTTTTTTTTTTTTTTTAATGTTTGCCCTCCACTGTAAGAAGACCACGCTCTTTGTACATTGTGCCATGGATATGCAAAGTAGCAAAGGCATAATGGGAATCTGTATAAACATTTAACCTTTTTCCTTTGCCCATCAGAGACCCTGTATGAGTGTCCATAACTTTGCTCATTGAGCCAAGCATCTGGTGGGGAGGGATCCCGCTTGGACCACTTTATTTTGAGTTGTCACTGTATAGCCAGCATAGCATTGTTGTTGGGAGTGAAAAGGACAGCCAGACAGCAGGAATGTAGTTTTGCCGAGGAGTAGAGGGCTGAAGCTCTCACAGGCAAACAGCAGCCAACTCTCACCAACCTCAGTTTTTTGTTTTTTTTGTTTTTGGTACCGGGGATTGAACTCGGGTCCTTGCGCTTGCAAGGCAGGCCACCAAACCACTGAGCTAAATCCCCAACCTCGGTTAAATCCCCAACCTCGGTTTTTATTAGGTACATGCACAATACTTCCATGAGAATGAACAGCTAGCTCCTTACAGATTATCTCTAGCAAAGCATTAGAAAATATTTTTTATGAACACCTGGTTCTAGTTATTCATATACTTTCTCAAAACAGACTGTTCCCAGAAAGTTATCGATTGTTCTCAAGACTGTTTGCAGCCTTGAACTTCTGAGTTGTGGCTCCGTGGGCAGAACCACAACTGCAGTTCCTATTCCAATCCGCGTCCCCATGTAATCTTCTCCTCTACATAGCATATTTCATTTTTTTAATGAAGCTGTTTTCATCTGTTAACAGGACAAAATCAGCATCAGGCAGTGGGGTTTTGTAGATCTGGAAAACTCGAGAACAACTCGTTGGTGACAGAGGCAATCATGATTGGGGGGGCAGATTTTGAGGGCAAAAGAGCAGGATTTAAGGTTTTAACTGCAACAAAATGTAGGTGGAGATTCTCACAGATGAGGGACTGATATTGTGTGACTCTATTTTTGAAAGCCACTGATGTCTTTTATTATTTAACAGTTTCAGGACAGCATGGGGAACCTGAACAGTCAATTTTTGTCTTAAGGATAGCTTGTCAGCCTCTTTAATTTTTAGAATAACAGCAGCTGTCACAGCCTGTAAACAAGGGGGCCATCTCCTCACAACTGGATCTACATTTTTAGATAAATGTTATTGTCTGATTTTATGGGTCCATTTTTTTAAAGTAGGGCAATTTTTTAGTAATTTGAAATTTTAAATATTTGACTTATATATAAATTTGAGCCTTTTTTAATGAAACTTTATATCTTATCTCTTGAATCAGCATTAATAGTCCTTTAGAACCCTGTGAAGTTTTTATTTATTTAGTATATCAGAAAATTAAAAATAGTAATAATAATTATATGTATGAAACTTTGTCTTTTAATATAATTTGGTATCCAAAGGATCTGTTTTAATTACTTTTATAGAAAATAATATATTTTGAAAATGACTATTATAAACATATTATAATAACATTTAGAATTTAACCCTTTGATGATAACCAATATAAACATTCATAACAACGTATTTAGCAATAGTTATTGGGGGTATAACTTTTTAGAAGGCTATGAAAATTACTGGGGCTCTCATTAGTGAATAAAGACCAGAATAAATCTTTTGAGCAGCTTTTTTTTTTTAACAAACAGGAGTTTATTTGAATCTAAAAGTTTGTATTTAATTATCTTGACAAAATATTTAACTTGTAAAACCAGATTGTAAAAATTAACAAATTATTTGTATTTTTGACATCATTTTGATTAAAAATATAATTGGACAAACACTTCTGAACAATTGCACAGATATAGACAAACATATAAGACAATTTATGAAACTAGAGTGTACTCAAATATATTTGGCCAATTGAATTATAACATCTCTTAATTATGACTAGTCAAAACTTTTGTAGGTCAATTAACAGAAATCTCTTGTAGAATTAGAATTAGAGGAATAAAAGTTATGACTGTAAATGTACACCTTTTACAACAAACTTGAAACCAACAAGCAAACATATATTTTTCTGATAAATCATTTTTTGTATGCCTTTTTATCATATTTAGGCCTTTTGGTCTTGGTTTTTATTTTTTATCTTTTTAACAAGACCAACATATAAAATCTTTTCACATCAAATATATATTTTTTATTTATAGCTTTTTAAATAGTTTTGCCTCACTTATTATAATAAACCTTTTATAATGAACTTTAGCTGTTAAAATTTTAAAGTGTCGTTTTGTTTTTAGATGGTTATATCTTAAATTTTGACTGGCTTTCAACATTATTAACCTTGAGTTTTTTCATCAACAATGTACAGAAAAGAGAAAGTTGACCCTAAAACCACAAATAAAGAATTTATAATGTATAAGAAAATTTAAAGCATAACAATTAAAGATCAATTCAAATTGAAACAAAGATATTTATCAAACAGTTAAAATTTGTAACTTGATTTTTTTTTTAAATCTCTTGATGTCTGTTAAAGCATAGTTGCAGGTTTTCTGGCTTTACTTTGACATCAGGCTAATAAGATAGTTCTGGCCTTTGGACTATTTACATGTATTTTTCTACTTAGTTGTAACAATGGAGTTATATTTTTTAAGTCATCTGTTTCTGTATTTTTTTCTGATATTGGCAGCAGAATGAGTCATGAAAACAGTATTTATTAGTTTGCCCCAGGTGGTAACCTTATTTCAAATCAGGCTTTTTTTGTGGCTAGAGTTTTTTGGGGGGGCCAAGACTAGCTTAGCTGAGGCCATGATCAGTATCAGGCACATCTGAGCTAAGGAACACTGTCACGTTAGTGTTCCATTTTGTTCATAATAGATGCTGGCCACAGAGTTACAGAACAGGCCACACACAATTTCCGCAACTCAGAGAGGGATCTTTAAGCATAAACACCCCCACCCTTTGTCTTGGTGTAAAGACAAGGCTTATTGCTTTTGTAGCTTGTTTTATGTTTTAACTGAATTTTTATAAACACGATCACACAAGAAGTTGACACTGTTTGCGGCCCCCTTACAAAGCACAATATAAAAGCACAATGACAAATTAAGAGTATATAAATGAAACCCTCACAAACAGCAAAGAGTGTAGGGTGATTAGGCCTTTATTTTATATTTTGTCTAAAGTGAGGATATAAATCCTCACAAATGGCAAAGAAGGGAGGGCAATCAGGCCTCTAATCTGGAATCTGTCTGAATGTTTAAGAACCAAAACAAAAGCAAAACTAACTAGGGGTTGTCTAGGAAATCTCACCATTTAGATAGACAATTTTACTCACCTTTTTCTGTTGTTACTGTCTCTGTTTCAGGTTTGAGAAATCCACTGCCAGAAAGCTGGCCTCCAAGTCTTAGAAAGGGAACCCAGGAAATTGTGGGGGTGTGCCTCTTCCCTCCTGAGATGGGCAGCCACTCCCTCCAGTGGGACTTGGGTCCAGGCCCAACACAGGCTGTGTCAATTAGCCCTTTCCTTCCCAGCCAACACACCAAATGTTATGGAAGGAATTGGTAAGTGACAGGCACAGAGAAATGCAGAATGGAAGTAAAATAATAAAAGGTTTATTTTGTCAATAAAAGTCTGATCGCACTTAGAGCAGTGTCAGTGATCCACCCCTATTATCTTACAGCTTCCTCTTTTATAGGGTTTTACAGCCTTGATCTTATTTAGGTGGTTATGTTTTTTGGGGTTTTTTTTTTTCTTTTTAGTTTTACATTATCAATATTTAAATCATGGTCACAAGACAGTTAACATTTAACCCAGATGTAGCAATTTTTTATAATTAGGGGAGTTTACCTTTAAGATATGCCTAGCTATATATCTTGGCCCATAAAAAGGGGTGTTTAGGGTCAAACAAATATTAACAATGTTTTTTTTTATCTTGACAATTTTATAATCATGTGGTTTATAAAACTTTAAAGTTTAGGGTCTTGATGTGTTCTTTTATCTCAAGATAAGACTAAATGCCTCATTCAGTGGTTAATGTCTCATTTGTCTGTTAATTTTAAACTCAACAAAGCAAACTGCTATTAGAGATAGCAGAAGCCATTTTATATTGTGACATTTTGTAAGTTTTGCTGTTTATACGAGTTTTATTTATTTTTGTTTCATTTTGGGGGTAACTCCTTATCTCTCATTATGTTTATATCAATTTTTATTATTTTACTTCCATTCTGCATCTCTCTGTGCATGTCACTCACCAATTCCTTCCATAACAAGCTGAGACTAATGAAAGTAATTTTGGAAAACTACTTAACCCACACAAAAGGCCACAGAAAATAAGCTCCTCAGGATCCTCTTTATAATTAATAAAAACAGAAAAAGCACTACAATTTTATAGATGTGTCAAAAGGAAATAAAATGATTCAAATGTTAAAAAAATTCCTTGGAAAATAAAAGTAAATACGTAGGACCTTTGTAATTATGCTTAAGGAAAAGATAGTATATTGTCTTACGCAATTCTCAGGAAACAAGGTCCCAAATACCTTATATCATTTTTTTCTAAATCAATAAAAATAAATGAACTTTCTTTTCATGATTATATATTCTGAAATGCCCATGTGTAGTCAAACCGTCTACACATCTTACCCATTACATTCTTATCTCCAATGGAATGCCTACCAGTGACCTTTCCCAGTCACCCCCCATGCCTGTTGCACCCCTCCAGTTTCAATTATGAGCAATGGTGAGTCCAGGATGAATCCAGACTGAAGCAGACTAAAACTCATGCTTAAAGAGGCCTTCTCCTGCAAAACCTATCACTACTTATCCATCACTTGGTCTGGAGCACCTTTTCTGGCACAGAAAGTGTGCATCCTGATCTCCCCTCTGGCCACTGAACTTAGTAGCTACCCTGAGCTAAATGCTGAGTGAGACATTCTTTCTGGTCCATAAATCTTCTGATAGTTTGTTGTTAATAAGAAGAAAAAATACAGAACCCTCAAAAACATCTTACCACGTTGTCCTGGGCTAAGTATTTTCACTTCCTCCTACAAAACTAAAACACACTTTAGTTTTACTTACTTGATCAACTTGAATGGCCTAGGGACATTGGCACCACAACCCCAACTCAACCTCAGACCTCTGTAGGAGCCGAAGACCTTCTCCAGAACAATCTGTCTCTATCCTGTCCCTACATTCAAGTGAAGTGGAACAGTGCTCTAAAATAGGCAGTTCGTCCCTTGAAGGATCCCCAACCTAAGAGCCACCATGCCAGCCAGGTATATTCTACAGGCCCATTCTTCAAACAGTTACTATGACTTTTCGCACAATGACCTGTTACCTTATTAGTGATCCTGTGGACCATCTATTGAATTCAGAGAAGTTAAATGAGCAGCTCAGAGAAAATCCAAGGCCAGAACTGAGACAGCCTTGATTTCCTGCAGCTTAGAGGAAGAAGGGATTCTCAACTCTATCAGACTAGCGCCACCTTTTGGTAACAAATATCTGCAATCTACAGAGATAATACAGACATACACAGAGAGAAATAAAATGACTAAACTGTACTGTAAGGCAAAACAAAAGGAAATAATTTTGTCTCCATCTGTATGATTTGCGTATGTGTACATACAAAGTAATTTGTGTGTGTGCCTAAACAAATTATACATACACACATGTATATACACACACGTCTATTTACACACTTTATTATCTTGAAATTATATATATGTGAATATAAAAGTGTGTAAATGCTCTGGCCTAACTATACAAAATTATTTAATGATGTACTGAGATACTAGAAACTGCTTTTAATGAGTAAGCTTGAATGTTAAAGAAGGAAAAATACATTTACTGGAATATTTTTAACACTTATGGGATTATTTTTAAGAAAGGGCTAAATATGCATGCACATATAGATATTCCTCCTTTAGCAACCTACCTATTTAATGGCTCTTCGGACTTAGAACCAAGGCGTGCTATTCAGACTTATGCCCTGCATTCAAATTTACAACATTAGAATGTGAGTAGCAGTGTGGCCTTATAATGGCCTCTTCCACAGTACAGTACTGTATTTTTTCTGATTGTACTATACAGTGCAATACTGTAATTTTATGTTCTGCTACATACTGTATTACTATTTGTAAGAGTTATGCAAATAAAAGCAAAGTCATCAGGTTGGAGTTTCTTTGACTTCTTTGTTCTGAATATTGTAATGAATCTACTATATACAATTCCTCATTTAGTGACCAATTCATTTAATAACAAGCTAATCATAGGAATGTACCTCAGTCTTTAAATGAGGAATGTCTGTAAACATTCACAGCACCGTATTTCTTATGGCTGCATTAGTACAGATGTGTGTACAATTGAAATACAATAAGTACACTGCTGCTGACAATGAGATTTGCTAAAATGATAGACATTTCCTTACAAAGTAATCAACAAACCAAGATATGACTTTTTTAAGTACTCGGTTGTATTCCTGAAAATTTCACAATATATTAAATATTCTGGTCACGCATGCAAAAAATGTTTGTCTTCATGTTAAATAGAGTTGGAGTTTTAGCTTAGATTACTATAAATAGATTTTTTTCAACAACAGAAACTCCAATAGGAACACCCAAAGAGTTTAGAGAATGCACAGCATAAGACTTCATCTAGTTGATTCTTCTGTACATTACAGAATGTCCAGCATCTTTGTGCCCTACTCACCAATACCAGCAGCACAATCCATTCCTGAAACAACCAAAATTAATTCTGGCCAATTTTTAAAACACTGAATTAGTAGGTGCTGCCACTCCCATCCTAAAAATATTGATTGGAGACCTATAGACCTTAGGACCCAGTGCCAGACACTAGGGACAAACTGATTTTAAAAGGAGGTGGGAGGAGGTACAGCTAGTGGGGAAAGTGACATCACACCACTATCCAAGTAATTATATCAATATGAAATGCTGTAAATGCTATGAAAGAAAAGTGTAACTTAGAGGTTTAGATGACATCAGACTTCAGGAGCCTACAGGCCAGTAAAATTATTTTCTTTTCTTAACTTAGAGCCATAAATAGTATCGTCAGCTTTTAAATTTTTCCATGGAAGGTTATTTTTAAATTTTTACTTTTAAAAATAATAATAACTACCATTTACAATAACTATGGAGACCAGGCGGAAAAGAAATTATCTCTGAATTTTAAAAAGATATAAAACAAAAATACTTTTAGCTTGGTGGGAAAATCTCACTACCTTATTGTTATTTTACTCATTCTGCTGCAGTCCGTGAGAGGCGCATGAGAGACTAGTATCTTGTTACCATCACACCAGATCCTTGCTGCCTGCCAACCTGGTGTGAGAAGTGCACCTTTTTCAGGACCCACCTCAGACTATTCCACCAAACCTCATTTTAATAAGATGCCCAAGAGATTCACATCTACATTAAAGTTTGAGAAGCACTGTGCTAGAATGGATCATATTAATCCTCCAATGGCTAAAATTCAGCCACAGCCACCTACATTACTCAATAATTATCAAAAAAAGATAATTGCGAGATCCCACACTAATCAGGATGCAAGATGAGACATAGAGCAGCCAAGTTAACATCCTACAAATCCATCATGTTTAACGAGTTAAGCTTAAAAATAATTGAAGAGAATACCCAAAATGCCACCCACAAATAATAATTCACAGCTTTGCAGCAGACGTCACATAAAACTCTGCTCCATAGTTTGTGTGTGAGCTGATGCATGGATTGTGCTGAACATTGAGTTTAATGCTGACTCTTGCCATAAAAGAAAGCAAATTTTATCACAGTCAGTTAAAAGGTCAGACTACTCTTCAGGTGTCCTGACACATACTACTTCTGAATTCATATTTTGGGTTTTTTTATTAAATCTCACATCTAGGTTTTCTAACATAGTTGTTAACTATAGAGGCAAGGAGTGGAGGCATAAATCTAGGCCTCTTTCCTGGGCCATTTTGATAGGAATAATAACTGTCAGTACAATGTAAAGCCTTTTCTAGGGAAGAAAAATTACAATATAGATCTGGGCTGACCCGTAAGGCAGCCACAAGCAGAAGTGGGTACCTGAAACACAGCCGATCTAAAATGAGATGGGTTACAAAGTGCAATATATACAAGCAACTTGTTGGAACACTTAACAGAAACAAAAATAATCTCAAAAATAATTTCCAGATAGACTGCAAGTGCAGATTACAATGTTTCTTTAATATCTAGGACTAAAAATCATGAGAGAGACACAAAAAGAAAGAGAGAACAATAAAAGCAAAAGCATCAGTTTTGTACTTTTTTAACTGACTATAGAAAAATTTTAATCATATGTAGCTTGTATTATATTTCCAGCAGTGATGGTCTAAAGCTAATTAGAATCATGCTTATATTAACCTTAAGTTCATAAAATTATACATAAAGATAAACTCAACCCTAGAAAATAAATGTAGAAAATGTATAGTTAGGCAGGCAATAGCCAAATA